CAGTGCCCTCCCTGCAAGAAAGCAGGGACCCTGTTTGGTTTGCAGCACCCAGAGTGCTATCGAAGGAGCAGGGCTCAGGGCTAAATCCCCAGCTCCTGGGTGGGGACCGTGAATGCTGTCAGCCTCCCAGAGATGAAATCCTTCCTCTCCAGGTGAGCTCTTTTGATTGAAAAGGGAAAAAAAAGTCAAATCTTTATTCCTTGTCTGCTCCAGTGCCCTCGGTCAGATGAGAAGCCCTCCCAGGCAGCGGAGGGGAAGTTAGTTGAGTTCATCTCTGGCTCCTTTCTGGTGTCCCATGCACCCAGAACTGTGCCATTGACCTCCTTGGGGAGGCTGCAGAAAGATGTGGGTAGAGAGTCTATCCACTTGGGTTCAGTCCTACTCCCCCTCCTGTCTTTCTACAGCTCATTTTTGTTATCAATAAGATGAGAACACTGGTCTGTCTCACAGAGGTGTGACAAGCGTGCAGTGCGGATGATGTATGCAAAAGCCCCTTTTATGTAAAGGACCACCATAGAGGCCACCCCCTGCCCCTACAAGGTGGTACAAGACAGAAGACAGGCTTGGCAGTCAGGCTGGCACTGCGAAGTATTATCCATACACCTGAACCAGTCATTGGCCTCTTTGTGCCTCAACTTACCTGTGCAAATGTGTTTCTGTACCGTAAGGACACATAAGGACAGCGTTACAGGTGGAGTTGTGTCCCCACCGAATAAGGTAGCTCAATTCCTACCCTCCAATACCCATAATGTGACCATATTTAGAAAAAGTGGCATTGCAGATATAATGAGTTCGGATGAGGTGGTCGTAGATTAGGCTGGGCCCCTAATCCAGTGTACCTGGTGTCCTTATAAGATAACCAAGTGATGACAGAGTCACCCCAGGAGAATGCAATGTGAAGAGGAAAGGAGAGGGCACAAAGGAGTCCCCTCAGTGCAGAGGGAGTATGGCCCTGCCGACACTGTGATTTTGGGGCTCCTAACTTGCAGAAATGTGAGACAATAAATCTATCTTGTTTGTCAAATTTTAGTTAATATGCATTAAGTGAGAAGCTATGTTGGAGAACACATGGAGGACCAACCCCGCAGCTCCAGCGGTTAGATGCTGTGTGGAGGTAGCTGTACCCCCTGAAGCTAACTGTGTTCCAAATCCTGGCCCCAGTAGCTTGAAGAACATACTAGGTGCCTGTATCTACCTGCCCCAAATCCCAACAGCTTGGCTAGATGGAGGGAAGAGGATTGAGGTGTGGGACCAACAGGTGGTCTTGTGGTGATTAAGGTGCTGGACTCCCACATGGCCAACCACAGTTCGAGTCCTAGACCCAGAGGCTTGAAAAATCATATGTGCATGCATGCCCCAAATTCCTGGAAGGAGAGTGGAGGAGAAGGGACTGTGGCATGGCCATCTTGTCTGGACAGTGATTTCTCTCCTTCTCAATGTCTCAATCTCTCTCTGATGAATACACATAGCCTATAGCATCTATTAAAAAAAAATTAAAAAGAAGGAGTGCAGTGTGACAGGTTCCATTGGGAAGCACTCTCTCTCCCTGTCCCTGTCTCCTTCTGGTATGTGCACATGCCCTCTGGCATTTAAAAGAAAGAAAAGAAAAAGGTGGGCCCATAGCGCAGTGGTTAAATGCTATGTGTGGGGAGCCAGATCCAAAATAGCTGGCCATAGCTTGAGCCCCGGCCCTGGCAACTGGAAAGTCATGCTGGGCATGTGTGCATACTTGCCCCAAATCCTGACAGGAGGAATGGGGAAAAGGGATTGTGGTCTGACCATGCCCTATTGCAAGGTGCTCTCTCTCGAACATCCTGGTGAGGAAAGAAGGCACGAGGATGGTGATTATTAGTACAGGGCCCAACACGCGGAAGGTCCTTGGTTAAATGTTCCTTTCCTCCTCCCACCATCACAAGGCTGCTTTCTGCACAGAGTGGTTTAGGAGAAAAAACAAATCTGATTTCTTCTAACGTGGGCCTAGAGCACCTCCAGGGCCCCCTGCGGTCACTCGCAGCAGATCTGGTGGCCTTCTCTTCAACTGTACCCTGGCTCCCTGACTGCTTTTCTTGATTTTTCAAGATTTCCTGGAGTGAGAGTAGGAGAATTTTTGGAATGTTTGGCCCTTATTTCATGTGTGCTTTTCCAGAAGTTTCAAGAAGCTTTGTGGAAATCTAATGAGAGCAAGAGGCCTTGGCACCGTGTGCAGGTTCTTCTGGGGAAAGCTGTTTCAAATCAGGGCATTCCCAGGCAAAGCTGTTGGAAGAACATGCCTCTCACCGTATCCTCATGTTCATGCCACAGCTTTCTGAGGTTCTCTGGAAACTTTTCCCTGAAAAATAACAGGGATTCAGAAAATTCTACAAATGATCCAGCGTAGCTCTAGCTCAATTTCATGTGCTTTGTTTTGGTTTGCGATTGTTTCTTGGGTTTTTTTGCCCTGTTCACTGGGTACATTTCCCTGTCTCCCATGCTAAGCCTGTGCAAAGAGTGCAGCATGCCCCGGCTGTGGGCTCAGGTGGGACCCAGTTCCCCCCCAAACTAGTCTGGACCTTCGAGCAAGCAGCTTCGCTGGGACATGACTGTCCCTTCCTATGGCTGATGAAGGCTCAGGAAAGCAAATTCCTGCATGTGTAAACGTGCGTTCTCATGCTTATTTTTCTGCTTCATTTGGGTTATTTTAGTGCTAAGAGTGTGGGCTTAGCATTCACCAGAAAAAGGCCCAGGTCCACACTGGCCCCAACCAGATGGGTGACTTTGAGCCTCAGTCTGGGTCTGTCTGATGGAGAGATCCGCGTGTGAGGACCAATTGCAGTGGCTGAGATGAGATAACTGTCGTAGAGGATTGTATAGGACACCAGGAGGTGCCCTGTTCATGCCCACGCCCTCATGCCTCCAGGAACTCGGTGCTTTCCCTGCGTGGCTCCCACTCTGGCCTCTTTCCTCTGAACCTGGACCTCCATCAGCCCTCCAGTGTCTAGACAAAAATGAGGCCTAGCAGTCAAGTTGCACTCTTCCTTGGAAAATTAGTTAATTAATTTTTTTGAGAGGTTTTTGCTATACGGCGCATGTGCTCGCCAGACAGACAGACAGAGAGAGACAGAAAGCGAGAAATCACCCCTCCAGGGGGGTTGGCCATGCTGCAATCCCTTCTCCTCCATTCTCCTCTCAGAATCTTGGGCACGCACGAACATGCGCCCGGCGCAAGTTTAAGCCACCGGGTCCGGTCCTCGAACCGTGGACCGTGGTCAACTACATGGGAGTCCAGTGACATAGCCATTACGCTGACTGCTGGTCCCTTAATTTTTGCCAGAGAGAGACAGAGACAGAGAGGCAGACAGGGAGAGGAGAAACCATGCCTCCCAATGGGGGATGGTCACACTGAAATCCTTTCTCTTCCATCTCTCCCTCCTTTCAGGATTTGGGGCACACATGCACACTACACTGTGTGTTCCTCAGGCTACCACATCCAGGACTAGAACCGTGCAGTCAGCCATGTGGTATTTGACTATTTGACTGCCTTAACCATCAGATCACAGAGCTGGCCCCAAGGACCTGGACATTTTGTAGCTGTGTAAATTGAGTAGGGGGAGGAGATTACACACACACACACACTCATGCATGTGTATATATATGAATAAATATATAAGTATATATGAATAAACATATATATTCGAATTATATATTTTCATACATATTTGTGTATGAATCTCCCCAGGAAGTAATAAATTACTTTAAACAGCTGTTTGGAAGCACTTTCTTAATCAAAGCTCAGTGCAGGAGTGCAGAGGCTGAGCCCCTGTTGAAGAGAGCAGGCTGCTCAAGTCCTGCTGTGAATTTCAGTAGCTCCTCGGTCATGCTTGCCGGCTGGTAGGGACAGACAGACAGCCCAGCTTGCCTCGTGCCTTCTCTCTCCCATTCCCTGCTGAAAGTCGTCTCTCCCATACCCTGCCAGAAGTGGGCTCCCCCATCCAGACCAATCTGAGCCTCTGGAGGCCTGGGTGGACCATCTCACCCCTTAGAGACAGCTCCTGGGGAAGGCTGAAAGAGCCTATGAGGAATCTGGAGTTGGGTTTGACACTTGGAGCTCAGTGGGTCTCCCATGTGACCTCTCATGCCCTAAAGCCTTCTCACAACTCCACCCCCCTTCTGTTGCATCCCTGCCTCTACAGTGAAGAAATACCTGTGAGTCTCCCCCACCCCTGAACTGGCTCCTCTCCAGGGGGGAAGGCTGGTCCTAGCTTGTCTCCAGGGCTCAGGCAGCGCCTGGCAGAGAGGCTGTCGTGGTTATGGCTGGGATGGTAGTGAAGGACAATGGAGAGCTGTCTCTGTGAGCACCTGCTGTAGCCAGGCCTGCAGGATATGGGCTCTAGACAGCCACACGTGCTTGTATGTGTTTACTCTTCATGGGACCCCCATCAGGTAGGCCCAGATCCTGGGCATCCCAAGGTAGCATGAGATGAAGTGACCTGCCTGAAATCACAGGAGTCAGTTTTATATCCAGAGCTTCCTCATCTTCTCTCCTCTTCTCTCTCCCCCCACCCTCTCTCTCTCCTGGTGAGTTCACATCTCTATAGCAAAAAAATACTAAGGGAAAAAAATTGACAATGAATGAAGTCCTGACCCATGCTTCAACATGGATGGACCTCGACAACATGTTAAGTGAAAGAAGCCTGTCACAGAAGGGCACATGTTGTGTGATTCCGTGTGTATGACATGTCCAGAACAGGCAGATCTATAGGACAGAAAGTAGGTTGGTAACTGCCCAGGACTGCAGGGGGTTGGGGGGTCATGGGAGTGGCGTTCATGAGTATGGGATTTCTTTGGGGGCATTGAAAATATCCTGAACTCGATTCTGGTGCTGAGTCTGATAATTGTACTTCGAACAAACAAAAAACCTTCCAATCATATACTTAAATGAGTCATCACATGGCATATAAACTCTATCTCAAAAAAGCTGATATAACAAAAAGTAAATTGGCGTATTTCCTCACTGTTCATACCTGTGTCAAGCAAGGAATCTAGCTGGTCTATCTCTACATGAAGGTTAGAGAGACCTGAGGGCCCTCTTCTTGGTGTTGCAGAGCCATAGGTACCAGGGGTTGCCCCCTACCCCTCAGGCAGCCAGGTGAAAGCAGAGCTCCATTCCTAGTGAATTCATTTAAAAAAGAATAAAACAACTTTGTTTTAAGTCTCTGAGAAACCTGTGAGGAGGAGAGCTGGAGATCAAATGACCTGAGCCTGAGAAATTTACTGCATCCTGTTTTCCAGAGACCATTTTCCCAACATAAGTCACAGAGACAGATGGCAGGGGACCTGCTTCTGAAAATAACCACTGTTGAGGAGAGATGACTTAGCGGGAGCTGCTGGGAAAGGGGTTAGGAGCCACAAGATTTAATAGGCTGGAAAAGAGGGCAAGTTTGGACCCCAGAGCCTGGGGTTTGGTAAAACTCATCTGTTAGGGATCCAAGGTAGAAGTTGCATCTCAGTGGTCTTTTCTGAGTATGTATTTTCTTCCCTTTGGAAGAAATTGTGCAGCCTTTATCTGCTTAATGCGTTACCTCAATGTGACTTAATTTATCTCACTTTGGTTTTTGCTACAGGATATGTGTCAGAGAGAAGGGAGCAGAGGAATGAGAAAGCACCTCCCAAAGGGGGTGATCTTACACAGTCCCCTCTTGTTTCAGGATTTTGGCCACTTACACACTTACACACACGTGCCTGGTGTGTTTTTCAAGATGGCCGATCTAGGTCTTGAATCACACAATCAGCCATGTAAGATCAGTCACCTTAACCACCACTTCCCCAACTTTGATTTTTTAAAACAATCTCTTTATCACGTTGGTTCCTTGAAATAAACATTAAAATACAGAAAGGACCAGCAGGTGGTATGGTGGTCAAGGTGCTAGATTACACAGCTGACTTCACAGTTCAGGTCCCAGGCATGGCAGCTTGAAAAGCACGCCATGTGCATGTGTATGCATGCCCAAAATCCTGAGAGGAGAATGGAGGAGAAGAGAATGTGGCATGGCCAGCCCCCTGGGGGTGATTTCTCACTTATCCTCTCTCTCTCTCTCTCCAGTGAGTCCATGTACCCTATGCAAAATAATAATT